AAAAAAAAACAATTATAACAATATACTATAATAAAAGTTATGTGAAAATGTACATTTCTCAAAATATCTTATAGTACTGTACTCACTGTTATTGATCATGTGATATGATACAATGCCTAGTTGATGAGATGAAGTGAACTGGTTGATATAGGCATGGTGATGTAGCATTTGCCTACTATGTAAGGATTATTCGAATACAGCACTGTGATAATGCAAAAGCCAATCTGATGAAACTAAGACAGCTACTAAGTGACTAGTGGACAGATAGCCCATCTTGGGCTGATCAGAGCTAGATGGTGCAAAATTTCATCATGTTGCTCAGAATGGCATACAATTTAAAATTTATAAATTGCTTATTTCTGGAATTTTTCACTTAATATTATCAAACCACAGTTACCTATGGGTAAGAGAAACTGTGGAAAGCAAAACTGTGGATAAGGAGAAACTACTGAAAATTAAACTTTATCACAGATATTTATGTACTGGAAAAAAACAAAAACAAACCATAGTATATATAGGATTATATATATATTATCTATGGTTTCAGGCATCCATTGGGAGTCCTAGAACATAGATAAAGGGAAAGTATTGTATATTATTTACATTGTGCAGGATCCAGGCAGAGAAATTAAATGTAAACCTGGTTTAGGCCCCTTGAAATCCTTAGAAATACTACATCTAAGCAAGGAAAGTTCTATAAGAATGTTTTCATAATACAGGGCATATGGGACACTCGCCAAAACAAAACAAAATACCCCTGGTGCTGGAGAACCAACTGAAGAGGCACTTACAATAAAATATCATCAACTTATAGGGTCCCCCCTCTCACTTTTTCCTCTGTCCTTACCAAAAAATACAGAAGGCACTGATACCTGTGACCTAGCCAGTTGCATGCTGCCCCTGTAGGCTTGAACCAAGCTGAGCCCTTGAACATTTCCAGGCATTGATAAAGGTGTTTAGGTTGTTGCTCAAAACACTGAGAGATCAACCCAAGCTGCTAAACACACAGAATCTAGCTCCATCCCCAATAAAATCCCTTAAATCTTCATATAAATTTTACATCCTGACCCCTTCATTGTGGAAATACCTAGGCAGAAGAACCTTTGTCTTACTTCCTTGAGGATACTCAGCAGTCTACTTTATATGTGAGTTCCTCTAATAAATGCTTTGAATTGACCATCCTGGTATTTAGAGCTTCTTTATTTGGAGTCCTAACCAGTCCCATCTTGGGATGGTTTGGGGCATATTCTTGCAGAAACTCCCCCGATGCCAATTTTGAGGTAATTTCAGTCCCATGTTTGGCCTAGATGAAATAAAACTAGACAAGGAAGCAATCTATCATAAGGGAAAGCTGACAAACAAAAGATCACTCCAAGAAGTGCACATAATACAACATGAAAAACACTATGTAAGAAGTATACTTAAAAGTATTAAATATTAAGGCAAGCAGGGTGTGGTGACACACATCTGTAATCCCAGCTACTTAGGAGGCTAAGCAGGAGGACCATGAGTTTGTAGTTAGCTTGGACAACTTAGATGAGACCCTGCCTCAAAATTAAAAAAAAAAATTTAAAGATTAATAGTAATAAAACAAACTGTAATGAAAATAGGATATAATGAAACAAAACCCATAGTACTGAAGAAAAATGAATAAAACATTAAGGAGTGAAAGATATAACCATTAAAATTAAAGACTCTGTGATGTATTAAATAGTAGATTAGACTCAGTTAAAGACAGAATTAGTGAATTGAAAGACAGAATTGATGCACTCATTTAAAAATATGAAAAAAGTAGAAAAGTAATGAGAGAAAATATGAAAGAATAAGTTAAAAACACAGGGAAAGTATGAGACATATTAATATACATATATAATCAGAGTTCCTATGAGAGACTGAGAAAATGGGGAAATTTTAATATTCCAATAAATAATGCTGAGAATTTTTCATAATGGAATGAAAAACATAGGTTCTCAGGTTGAAGAGTCCTGACTCAAACACACAGTGGTAAATCTGTAGAATACTAGACAATGAAAAATCTTAAAAGCAATAAGAAAGGAAAAAAATGCCTGTTTGTCTACAAAAATAACATCATATTAGCAGCTGACTTCTTATTAGCAACAAAAGATTATAGATAAATGGAAAAAATATCACTGTTACTTATTAGTAGCAAAAAATTATAGGAAAAATATCTTCAAAAGCTCAAGAGAAACTGTCATTCTGAATTCTATGGGCACTAAATTTCCATATGAAGTGTGTGAAATAATGACATTTTAAGATAAAGACTGAGAATGCTTACGACTCAAAGAGTTTCCCTGAAATGTCACAACTGAATATACTTCATAAGAAGGGAACTGAAATTACAAGGAAAAAGTGAAATGCAAGAAGAAATGGAGAGCAGAAATGAGAATGAGAATGGAATGTAAGAAGAAATGAACAGAAGACTTTATAAATATGTTAGTAAATCTACACAAGCACTGAGGTGGTGGTGAGATTTAGTGGGCATAGAAATTAGGTAAAACGAAAACAACAGATTGAAATATGAGAAATTATAGGAAAAGAAGATCAGAGTTTACATGTCCTAAGTTCCTTCTATTATTCAGGAAAAGTATGATGACAGTGACTCACTGTAGACTTCAGTAAGAATCATTAGAAAATATAAAAAGAGGTAATCAGTAAAAAAAAAAAAACACAGAAATAGAATGTGTAATTTCTAAATCAGCAGGGGCCAGGAGATAAATAAGATAAGTAAAATAAATATAGCCACTGATACTGGTGTTTAAATTGCTTCTTTAATGTTTAAATTGCTACTTTATAGAACAATTTGGTAACAACTAGTAAAGTTTAAGATGCACCTACTCTGTGACCCAGAAATTCTACTTCTATGTATCTGCCCTGGGGAAATACTCACACAAGAAGGCATGCACAGAACTGTCCATTGCAGCATTGTTTTTAATATGGACAACTGGAAATAAATAAATTCAATTAGCAAAAGAATGATAAATAAATTGTGGTCTATTCAGCAATAAAATAGTATTCATGAACTAGAGCTATGTGAAACAACATGGGTAAATGTAAATAATTGAGAAATGTATCTGCAGAAGAAAGTGTACAATATAATACCATTCAGATAGATTTCAAAAACACAAATCAAAAGTTTAGATTGTTTAAAGATATATACATCTCAAGTAAAACTATAAAATCATAAATAGGGGGCTCCTCTGAAATAAATGTGTTTCAGTCTGTGTACATGGTTAATTGCTATGTTATTCTCTGTGCTTTCCTGCATGTTTCAAATATTTATTTTTTTCTTTTTAATGAAAGGATCTAAGCATTTAGAAATAAGGGTAAAGGAGATAAATGACTACATCAGTCCTCAGAGAGGATGATCTCCTGGGATGGGATTAGGAGGGAGGCTGAGTCCTGCATCCAGGGATTATAAGGATTAATTCAGATTATCCCCTAAGCTGATCACCTGGCTGACATGCCCACCACTCCTGCCCTTCTGAGATGCATCCCTGGACCATCGCCCACCTTCCCCCCAACCTTCAAGCTTTATTCTCCTGTCTCCTAATTTCACCCTCACCCTCAACCCAGCACTAGTCTGAACATGGTTTGACCAGTTGGCTCCTGAAAATGGACTGTTTCAGGTTGGTGACCCACACTGTGGCAGCCAAGGAGAGATTAGTCCTAATACTCAAGATCAGAGCTCCCTAAGAGAGCTTGGAACCCTGGATGTCACAATTGACAATTTCTTCCCTATCCCTCCTCTCATCTGCCCAGAGGTCAAGGCCAATGCTAAACTGGCCTTGCTGGCTGAGGCAGAACCAGAAGAAGCTGGATTGGAATAAAGACCCATTGTGCTTCCAGATTTAGTCTCTGTCAGTCCCCTGAGCTGCAAGTTGAGTCCCCAATGCCAGCCCCTTTCCATCCTGATAATTGCCCTGTTCCTGGAGTCTAGGCAGACCCTCTGCAGGAGTCTGGGTGGGCTTGTTCAACACTCTTCACCCACAGATGAATCACTTGGCCATGGGAATCTGAAGATGTATCTGTCCTCTGGGGAGTAAATGACACATTCTTTGTTCATCTTTCAGAGCACCAGGGTTGGGGAGTGAGAAGAGAAATGGGCAGAGAGACAGGAGAAACAGGGAGAGAGAGATGGATTTTTGGACATTGCTACTGATAGGAAATATTTAACTTTGCAAGTATGAGATCCAATGTTAAATAAAACAGAGCATTAACTGGGTAGTTGGGAGATTTGTGTTTATCCATATCTTCTTTGGGCCAGGTACTTTGTTATACATTGGAGATACAAGGGTGACTAAGATAGTTTACAACTTTTAACAGATTTGGTGGGCAGAAACCCAGAGTGATTAGTGCCACTCAGAGACAGAGGACAGGTAGGAGCATCTAATGGAGAGGAGATGGAGCACCAGGGTTGTCTCTCAACCAAGGGATGAAGGATAAGCAGGAGATGTGCAAGCAAAGAAATGCTTCTTTCTTGTGGAACATGGCAAGCTTGTGAGCCTGGGAGCCTGTGGAACTAAAGTCACACAACATGTGCCCAGACCTTGGGAGTGGTTATAAAAAAAAAAAAAAAAAAAAAAAAAAAAAAAAAATTAGTGAGTGTCACTGTCTTAGGAGTCTCCCACCAATTTCCTCAGTGTGCTGGGAAGCCCCGAATCCCAAGTATAACCAACCACTTCTATCCTGAACGACAGGGAAGGCTACCTAGAGGTGACTCCCAAATGAGGGTTGAAGAATAAGCAGGGGATGTGCAGGCAAAGAAGAGCTTCTTTCCTGCGGAACCTGGAGAGCAAAATGCTGTACAGGTAGTCATTTCTTGAATGAATGAACGTTTAAGTAAATGAAATAAGCCCTCTGGGCTTCTACAACTCCCTTCTATATGAGCGAACGTTAGTAGAGCCCACTCCCCAGCAGGACACAGCGGGGGCGTGGCTTGAAGCTCAAAGGGTTGGCAGGCCCATGTAGAGAAGAGGCCTTCGGACACCGGACACAAAGGCTGCTTGGGGCCTCCCCTCCTAAACCTGTGGCTGGCTCTGGCTTGGTGGGAGGCGCTGAGAAAGCAGAGAGTTCGAGGCCCAGCTATCTCGGCCTCGGCTTTCCTCCTCTAGCCTTGTTACCGATCTGGGACGCAAGAGGCACCGCGCAGGGCTGGGGTCCAGGCTGGCTACGGAGGTGGGGACTTCGGCCCTGCATGGAGCAGGAGGGGGCGCGTCTGCGCGTTTGGAGGAAACACTCTATCCTTTCCTTTTCTGATCCAGTCACCCGACAGAACCGCGTTCTGACGTGTGGTAAGAAGGGTCCCTATGCGCAGCTGACCCGATGTGAGACCCGCCGCCAGAACCAGTGGATCCTGTCGCTCCCTCTCGGAGCAGCCTTAAGCCTAGATTAGCTCACGTCGATAGTCTGGACCCGGCCGCTCCCTGAGCTCTCTCAGGCAGGAGTGGGACGCAACCGGGACCGGCGCTCACCCTCCTGTGCCCTCCGCTGCGGGGTCGCAAGCCGGGGACAGTAAGGGCTTCCGGGCGGCGGGGGCGGGGGCCTGCGTCAGGTGGCCCGGCCTGGCCCCGCCCCCTCGGCCCGCCCTCCCTCCCTGCGCACCCGGCTCGTGGTCCCGGGCCCGGCGGCTGCGGTTTCAGCTCCGGGAGGCGGCGGCGGCGGGAGCGGCCATGGAGGCGGGCGCCGGGGCCGGCGCGGGAGCCGCGGGCTGGAGCTGCCCGGGCCCAGGTCAGAGCCGCCCCTCCTTATCTCCCACCGCCCCGCTTCCTCTCCCCACTCTCCTCCAACCCGACCCCCAAGTGCTCCTGTCGCCACTGCTCCCCAGATCTCCGTCCTAAGTCTACTCCATCCCGGCCTTCACCCGGGCCCGGTCTCCATCTTTCGGCCTGAGGCTCCCTTCCCCTGACAGCTCCTCCCTGGGCGCTCGCCGTAATATCTCTTCAGCCAGATGGTTCTTCCAACCCGCAGGGACTCGAGAGTCTGCACTCCTCTGGCCCCGAAGGTTCCTGAGTGCCCGGCGAGGGTGGGGTGGTGGGGATGGAAGGAGGGGAGCGGCCCTGGCCCTTGCCCCTTAGCGCACGCCGCCCCACCTCCCTCCCCTCCGCGTGCCACCGCCCCCTTTCAGCCCCTTCCTCCCTGGCTCCTGCCTCCTCTCTCATTCTAGCCTCTCGCGTCCCTGTCCCCCAGAGTAAACAGACACACACCCTCTTTCTGTCTGCAAGGAAGAGGAGCCTGGAACGGCCTGGAACAGGGGTGCCGATGAGGTTGGGCAGCGCGGGTCTGGGTTCCCCACCCCATTTAGAGCATTGAGAGGAGGCTGAAGGAGGGTAATCACAGAGCAGAGCAGACTCTGGCACCTCCACTGGGACAAGTCCCAGGGCTCTCTGGGCTAGATGTCATGCCTTCTCTGTCCTCTGCATCGCAGTCCCCAGCCCCACTGCATCCCACAGTACCTCCTCTCTTCCTGCTCACAGGACCCACAGTAACCACTTTAGGCTCCTATGAGGTATCTGAGGGTTGTGAGAGGAAGAAAGGCCAACGCTGGGGGTCCCTGGAACGTCGTGGGATGCAAGCCATGGAAGGTGAGTCTTCCCAAAAGGCTTTCTGTCCCTTTACCCTCCTCCCCCAGTTCCTATCCCTCCCTCTTCCTCCCTCTGACCCTAGAGCTCTGAGCCAGGACACAGCCCTTCCCTCAGCTCACCTCGGGCCCCTCCTCATTCGCTGCTGAGCTCCAGTCCTCCCCAGGGTTCAGGCTTTGATGGAAGTTCAGGATACATCCCTTTGGGGCCCTAATCGCCCAGCTAACCAGGTTGTATGTCCTGGGGGAGCTGCCAGATAGAGAAAGAGGCCTCGTTGGGCAGAGCTTTGAAGCAGGCTTTCGGCAGGGGGTTTGTTCTCACTGCCTGACGACCCAGATCCCAAGCTGTCTCTTATTTTAAAAAGCAAGGACATGAGCATGTGAATTGTCTTTCTGGGGCCACCACCATTAACTTCTAATGGAAGTCTTGTGTTTGGTTCTCTATAGAATATCTTCCTTCCTGAAAGACAGAGCCTAAAGGGTGAGGCCAACCTCTCAACATGCATGCATCCCCACCACACATTTGTTGCTGCCAACACATTTCCCAGGACTTCCTATGAAGTGTCCCCAATAAGCCTCTCTGCTTATTCAATGTGGACAGCTCTGCTCCCTCTGAGGGGGTCAGATGACACAAGTGTCCCAGATGAAGCTTAGGCAGCTGATATTAGAGAAAGTAAGACAAAAGATTCAGAATTTCAAAGCAAAGCAGACATTTCCCACACAGACAAGATTTTGCTATATACAGGAACTGCATTGCAGTAAAGGAGGGGGTGCTCACCAACCAGAGGCTGGGGACCAGCACCAAACCCCAGTTTTTTTAATGCATTAAGATGCCAGACTTTCTTTTAAATGGAAGTACCTAAGAGTTTCCTTGAAAACCTCCTGGGTCAGTAGGGGAGAGTGAACCTCATGACACCCAGCAGGAAAAAGCCACGTGGACCTTTTAGAAAATTCCAAAAATATATTTGTTAACATACATTTGAAAGGGCCCCAATATTTTTGCAAAAAGAGACTTGGAATTGTTTCATTCCAATGTTTTCTTTCTCTACCCACCAACAGTCAATGCTTTCTTATTATGGAAAGGCTAATGTCTTGCAAGCCATCTGGGTAATTTTTTAACCTTCTACAAACCCTCAAACTAACTCATCAGCCTGATGGTTTGGCAGTGTCAGAATCCTTCTTGACTACTTGGCCCACTTCCAGACCACCAAGCTAGAAGAACCAGGCATTCCTATGCAAACTTTGTTAGAATAACCAAACATTCCTGTGTCCTTTGTTCACCTGGTCAAAGTTCACCCAACAGTAGGCTGCTCCATTAGCTCAATGGCAGTGGAAGGGGGCCACCAAGTGTGATCTTGGACCAGAAAAGACTTTAGAGAGGATGCTTCCAAACTTGGCCCTCACACCTGAGGATTCATCATGAATATGGTGAGGTCCCGTCCAGGGGCTCCTTAGGGGATACCAGATGAAACTATTTTACCATCTTGGTCCTGGGTGGAGGGTTTTGGAGGGCCCTGGAAAGACTGTGGATAGGAAGTTCCACTGACTCCCTGGTGGGATGTCTCTCCTAGGGGAGGTATTACTCCCAGCTCTCTATGAGGAGGAAGAGGAAGAAGAAGAGGAGGAAGAGGTAGAAGAAGAAGAACAAGTACAGAAAAGTGGCAGTGTGGGCTCCCTGTCACTGGGCAAGCACCGGGGCCTAAGCCTCACAGAGACAGAGCTGGAGGAGCTGAGGGCACAGGTGCTCCAGCTGGTGGCAGAGCTGGAGGAGACCCGTGAGCTGGCAGGGCAGCATGAGGATGACTCCCTGGAGCTGCAAGGTGAGCACTTGTGATGCAGGGCGGAGCAGGGATGGTTGGACCCAAAGGCTCTGTGCTTCCCAGCTGACACCCCCTTTCACTGCAGGGCTCCTGGAGGATGAACGGCTGGCCAGTGCCCAGCAGGCAGAAGTGTTCACCAAGCAGATCCAGCAGCTCCAAGGTAACACCCTGATTGTGACAGTGGAGAGGTGACCATCTAAGTCGCTACCCAATTACCTTTATCCTAGGGGCTTGCTGAAGCATAGAAGACAAAAATAACCTAAAGCAATACTTTCAATTCATTTTTTCTCCTATTCTTACCTTTTTCTCTTCTCCTTGTCTCTCCATTCTTCTCTTTCCTGAATTTTTTTCTTTGTATCTCTTCCTGGCTCTTCTGTTCTCCTTCTTCCTTCTTCCTTCTTCTCCTTCTCCTTTTCTTTCTTTTTTGTACTGGGGATTGAACCCAGTGGCACTTAACCTCTGAGCCACATCCCAGCCCCTTTCTTTTAAAAAATATTTTTTAGTTGTAGATGGACATAATACATTTATTTATTTATTTATTTTTATGTGTTGTTGAGGATCAAACCCAGAGCCTCACATATACTAGATAAGCACTCTACTGCTGAGCCACAACCACAGTCCCCCTAGCCTCTTTCTTATATTTAGAGACAGGGTCTCACTGAGTTACTTAGGGCCTTGCTAAATTGCTGAAGCTGGCTTTGAACTCATTATCTTCTTGTCTCAGCTTCCTGAGCTGCTGGGATTATAGCACGAGGCTCAGCACCTGGCTCTTCCCTTTCTTGCCCTCCTACCTCATATATTTTTTCAGGTTCACTCCTTTCTCTTCTCAGCCTTCTCCCCCACACCATATCCCTTGTCCTTTGTTCACCTGGTCAGTGCCAGGGGTGAGTAATCAAGGCTGAATTCCAAACCAAATGCCTTTTTCTGGTCCCTCCAGGGACACCATGGGAAGGAGCAGGGAACCAATAAGAAGTGGCCGGACAGTGTACCATGCATCTTTAAGGGAAACAAATGAGAGTGTTTTTCTGGCTCCTTAGGACCTGAGCTTGTAGCTCCCACAAACCTCTCTTCCAACACCCACGTCCCTTTGTCTCTGGAAAAGCAGCAAGGCAGGAGTCCCATATTCCACTGCAGTACCCAATAAAGAGGCAGCTTTGGTTACTTTTTTGGTCTTCCAGAAGGTTTTGGGGAGCTGCCCTAGAAAACAGTAGGGACTCTCTGGGGAAAACTGAGATCAAGCCAAATGAAAGTATAAATGGAGAAAAAAGGAAGTCCAGAAAGCTGGCCTAGAGAGAAGCAAGCAAAGCTATAAGAGAAGCTGGGTGTGGTGGTGCATACCTATAATCCCAGTGACTTGGGAGATTAAGGCAGGAGGATCACAAGTTCAAGGCCAGCCTTAGCAACTTGGACCCTTGGTAACTTAGTGAGACCCTATCTCAAATTTTTTTTAAAAAATTAAAAAGGTATAGAAGAGGGAAAGAGAAGGAGACAGAAGATGTAAGCAAAGGGAGATGCAGGAAATGTGGCAACAAAGAGAAGAAAAATGGCAGATGTGTCCCACAGGTGGTCTTGGTTCCCCTTTGGGTCCAGCTCTCTCACTTACAAATTTTGTGATCTGGGGAAGGTCCCTGAGATTCAGTTTCTTATCTGTAAAATGGCACTGATTAATTTGCTTATCAACTATTTATTGAGAGCTTTTATATTTGAAAGGCCAGCTATGAACAGGACAGCCAAAATCTCTATTGAAGAGTAAGTTCTAATGGAGAAAGGAAGAAAACACAAGTATGGGAGGCAATAAATGCTATGAACATAACAATATGATACACAGAGAAGGGATAAGATAGGAGTTTATTTTAGCTAGGGTGGTTTGAAAAGTCCTTTTTGAAAAGGTGACATTTGAGCTGAATCATGAGTAGGATCCAGCCTTTCAAGATCTGAGGGAAAGGCACACCAGGCAGAAGGAACAGCAACTGCAAAGGATCAGAGGTGAGAATAAGTTTCATGTGTTTGAGAGACAGAACAAAGGTCCTGGTGGCTTGAGTGAAATATACGTGGGGGATCTTGGTAAGGTTAAATTCTGGTTAGCAGGTGGAGGCCAGATTACAGGGAGTCTTGTAGACTAGCAGAGAGGTCTGGCTTTCATTTTAAGTGTACTAGAAAGCCATGGGAGAGTGAGTGTTTGACAGGGCTGGGGTGATATAATCTGCTGTACATTTTTTAAAGAGCACTTGGCCACTGATGGAAACTGGATAGAAAGAAAGGGTGTTGAAACAGTGAGTCTGATCAGGAAGTTATTGCAGTTGCCCAACTAGAGGTGATGGTTGCTTGGATTAGGGCTTCAGAAATATATTTTGAAGGTGAAGTCCTTAGGACTTGCTGATGAATTGGATGGAGGATAATAAACATGAAAGATGACTTTACCTCGAGAAACTGGGTGAGTGGTGGCATCATTTATTGGGACAAGAAAAACTTGGCAAGGAACAAATTTGGGGAATAGGGGAACCATTTAGGTTTTCTACCTGATGAGTTTGAAATGGCTATAGATATTCAAATAAGTATGTTAAGGAGGCCACTAGATATACGAATCCAAGACCAGAAGAGAAATTGGGGCTGAAGATAGAGATTTGGTAGTTATTAGTATAACATATACAATATAATCCATACAGTCACATGGAGATGACCATACAGTCACATGGAGAAATACCAGAGGAGGAGAGAAAAGTGTCCAATTTGCAGACACTCCAGTATTTAGGACTCCTATTGAAGGAGAAATGAACAAGAGACTGTGGCAGGAGATTCCTTAAACACTGTCATGCCCTGGAAGCCAAGAGCAGAAAATGCTTCAAAGAGAGAATGATCCACTGGGTCAAAAGTTGCTAAGGCAAGTGAGATGACCCTTGGAGTTAGGGAGATGGAGAATCTGAAACATTTCAGTGCAGATCAGTGCTGACTGGATTGGAGTTGAAGAGGAAATAGGATGTCAGGTAGAAAAAGTGAGTACAGATCACTTTGTTGGTCATTTTGAAGAGAATCAAGGCAAAGAGAAAGGGGTCAAAGGAGAGTTGTTTTGTTTTTATAAGGTAGGAAATGCTAGATCATGTTTTTTTGAAGGAAAAGATCCACTAGATCCAAAAAAAGTAGTAGCCATTGCTTGGAGAAATGGAGCGTTCTTCCTTTCCAACAGACGAGAAGTTGAGAAGCTGAACTACCAGGGAAAACAGTACTCTAGAAAGTTTCGGTCCTTACCAGGATTGTTCCCAGGATTTACAGGATCACCAAGATCTCGACCAGGGAGGGGTCCCAGCCTGGATGGCCGCCCCGCGCCCCGCGCCCCGGAGGGAACCTGAGACGGTCTGCGCGCACGCGCGTTGCCCGTTTCGGTCGAGAGGGGGCAGGCGCGGCCTCAGAGGCAGCTGGTGTTAAGAGGCGGTTCGGGCCGCCACAGCCCCTGGGGGGCCCGGACCCCTGCCGGCGGCGGGAGGCCCCCCAGGGAGACCTCTTGAGGGGGGGCCATTGAGATGGAGGCCATAACCAGTGAGTGAGAATCAACTTGTTTGCCCTGCAGCCCAACTCCTGGGCCTTTGGCCTCACCCCGACGGTAACAGCTCCACATTCAACTGGCACCAGCACTTTGGAACCCAGCTTGGGCCTTTCCAACTCCCAACTTTAGGATGGGCCCCGTCCCGCGGGCCTGCAAGCCCCGCCCCGTCCCGTCCTGCCCTGTTCCACACATTCATTCAGCCTAGGAGATGGGACTGCAGTAGAGTACTGAAAGGAGATTTGAACCCTGATGTCAAGGGCATATTAGGGAGTGGAGGTTGGTCTGCCCCTACAGGAACCCCACCTCAGGTTGTGGAGCCTTTATCCTAATGACCATTTACTCATGCATCTTCCCGTAGAGGCTGAGCTCCGAGATGGAACTCTCTGTGCTATTCAGTAGTAGGGATGGAGGAAGGACTTTCTTCCTTTAAAATAGGAAGTCACACCTGGGACAGTGGCACAAGCCTGTAAATTCAACGACTTGGAAGGTTGAGGCAAGAGGATCACAAATTCGAGGCCAGCCTCGTCAACTTGGCAAGGCCCTAAGCAATTTAGGGAGACTCTGTCTTAAAATTGAAAGGTCTGGGAATGTAGCTCGGTGGTTGAGTGTCCCTGGGTCCAAGCCCCAGTACCTCCCCCCCCCCCCCCCCCCCCCCCCCCAAAAAAAAAGTCAAGTAGGAGTCAGAGAACTTAAGTGGACATACTTGGTCTTGGTACAGTTCATTAGCTAATACTTGTTCAATAGACCAGGAAGAGGAGACAGCTAGGAGAAAAAAAAAAAAGTGACCAGAACAGCACATATGAGTTCACAAGCCTAGGGCTGTAGACCTTCCCCTGAGATGCCTGGTCCCTTCAGCCTCTATATCTTCAGTATGCCCAAATTTGTCATTGTCTTCTTAGTTATCTCTCCACTCCTTTCTTTTTTTAAGACAAGTTCTCACCACGTTTCCCAGGCTGGTCTTGAACTCCTGGGTTCAAGTGATCTTCCTACTTCAGCCTCCCAGATTCTTGGACTGCAGCTAGGCCACCACACCCTAAATTTGCCTTTAAAATATCTAGGTTCTCAAGCTTAATGGGGCATGCATGTGTGTAATCCCAGCCACTAGAAAGACTAAGACTAGGGGCATTGTAAATTTGAGGCCAGTTTCTGCAACCTAGACCTTATCTTAAAAATAAAAAGGGTTTGGGGTGTGGCTCAGTGATAGAGGATCCCTGGGTTTAATCCCCAGCACTGCCCTCCCCACAGAATGTCTAGGTTCTCTTCTGATTTTTAAAAAATACCCAAACATATAATTCTGTACACATAGGAGAAACAAGTTTATTGAATATATGAACCTCTACCTCATTTATGCATGAATATGGCAGGGGGGGCTCTGCACAATACCAGGTCCTGGAACTATAATGGTGAGCAAAACCAACATGTTCTTTGTCTATAAAACTTACAACTAAATGAGGTGGAGACTACACAACACTCACTGCAAAGTTTAAGGTTCTATGAGAGCATTTAATAGAGGAATTTTCTTAGCTTTTTGAGGAGGTTGGGGAAGAGGCTAGGGAAAGTTGGACTCTTAATGGTAAGTAGAATGAGCAGGAGTTAAAGATGGGGCTTGGGGAGAATATGTCCTGCAAAGGGTTTGTTGGAAGGTCCTGACACTTCTGGCCCAGTCCTCATGAATTGCCTAATGCTGGTCTCTAAATCCTGAATTTTTTTTTTTTTTTTTTTTTTTGTGGTACTGGGGATTGAACCCAGGGCCTTGTGCATGCGAGGCAGACACTCTACTGACTGAGCTATATATCCCCAGCCTCCTAAATCCTGAATTCTTATTGGTGTCCATTCCTTTTATTCTTCATCCACCTTTGGGTTCTCCTGATCCTAGATGATGAGTACCTGTGTCTAGGAATCATGAGATGCTCCACAGATACAGAGAGCTCTGACACACTGCTTTTGTAAATTGAAAAGAATATATATTATTACATAGAGACTTGTTGCAAAAACCAAACAGCATACCTATATATGATTTGGAATACCTTGTCACATCTCCCACTCTTCTAAAACAACTGCTCTTTAGGGTTTTGAGGCATAGACCTTTTCTGTGCCTTTTCTTGTGTCTTTGTACATTTGTGTGTTTTATGCTATATATAAATATATTTTTATAAAAATTAGGTAATGCCTTACATTTTCTGGCTCATTTTTCTTTCCAGTTCATATATATGGAAGTCTTTTTGTATCTTCATTATGGATCTGCCACTTTCTTTTAGAGGTCAGCATGATATTCTATTTAAACATCATCAATCCCTTGTCAATCAACATTTACATATTGTTTTGGGTCTAGTACTTCTAGTATATTCTGTAAAGTCTAAGCTTTGAGGGTGAATAGGTGAAAAATCTGTGAAAACTTTTTAGTTAGGGAATTTTTAGGACTCAGGGTATCAATAAAATATTGTCAATGAGGTTTGAGTTTGACTGTCAGGTAATTCCCTAGAAGAATCTGAGAGTACTTGTTTATAGTAGCCCAAGTTGTTGCTTTCAGTGTGAGGCCTCAAAATCTGTCTTCCTGCTGTGCCTCGTAGAGTCACTCTGTTCCCTTCTCAGGTATTCCTTTCATTCCATGCCATATGATGCTTTACTTCTCTGATAAGGTAGAGGCTAGGTTGTTAGCAATTTCCAGACAAGAAATAAGTCTGCCTAGAACTTTTTATCTATAGAACATGGTAGATTAGTTCACTTAACTCAACCTTTGGGCTTTGCAGGTGAGCTACGGCATCTACGGGAGGAGATTTCCTTGTTAGAGCGTGAGAAAGAAAGTGAACTTAAAGAAATAGAACAGGAGTTGCAGTTGGCCCAGACCGAGATCCAGAATCTGCGGCAAGCTGCAGCAGATTCTGTGAGTGAACATGAGAGTGACATGGCATCCCTGCAGGAGGATCTCTGCCGAATGCAGAATGAACTTGAGGACATGGAACGCATTCGGGGGGACTACGAGATGGAGATTGCCTCGCTCCGTGCAGAAATGGAAACAAAGACCTCTGAATCAACCAGTAGTCCTACGGACTTTAGTGGGTTGCAAGGTATGAGTGCAAGCCCTTCTCCTATCTGTCAGCAAAGTCAAGCTGAGGAGAGATCATAGATAGGAAGATGGAGGAAGAGTTGTGTTATATCATGCATGGAAAACCTCTAGGGAAAAAAAAACTTCTATTCTGAATTCAAGACTGTAGTGGAGAAAAACTTACCCAAATATTTTATAAGCAGTCCATGGTGGTGTAAGAAATGGTACCATGAAGATGTGCCCTGGGGATTCTTCCCCAGAGAGCCATTGGGTTCTTATTGATTTGACTATGGGAAAGCCCTTCCTGGGAAAGTGCCCAGTTCTGGGATGAGTGTACAAGGACTTGTCACCTTGGGAAACTCTTCCTGCTTATGTGGCATCGTGGCACTTTGCCTGAACCACTTTAGGGAGGCCTCTAGTTCTCCTTTCCAGGTCCCAGGATGCAATTCTTAGGCTTCTTTAGCTTTCCCCGAAGTAGAAACTTTAGGGGGCAAAAAAATCAGAGCATAAGACAGCTGGAGAGGAAGGGAGGTTATTTCTAGTAATTCATGAGGTACCTGAAAGCTTCCAATGCTGCTTTCAGATAGTCTCCAGCTAGTTGCTAGGATTCATGACATCAGAGTCTACCTTTATACTAGGCTAGATTTGTGATCTGAGTATGAAAGCCCTATATTTGGCCAGGTCAAACAGAGGCAATGAATAAGGAATCAAAGAACTGCAAGTTTTCCCAGATGTATGAAGGCTCTCAGAAGAGCCTTTGGCCTGGTAGTGCTGGGAGAGGGAGGCTAGCACAGAGGAAAGGCCTTTGCTGGAGTGAAACAAACCAGAGTTCAGAAATAAAGCTCTACCCAATAGCTGGATGAACTTAGGTTATTAAAACTATTCCAAAATTGAAAGTTTATTTAATGGTACAGAATAGAGGACACAGAAACCAATCCACAAAACTACAACTACCTTATATTTGATAAAGGGGCTAAAAGCATGCAATGGAGGAAGGATAGCATCTTCAACAAATGGTGCTGGGAAAACTGGAAATCCATATGCAACAAAATGAAACTGAATCCCTTTCTCTCGCCATGCACAAAAGTGAATTCAAAATGGATCAAGGAGCTTGATATCAAATCAGAGACACGCCGTCTGATAGAAGAAAAAGTTGGCTACGATCTGCATACTGTGGGGTCGGGCTCCAAATTCCTCAATAGGACACCCATAGCACAAAAGTTAATAACTAGAATCAACAAATGGGACTTACTCAAACTAAAAAGTTTTTTCTCAGCAAAAGAAACAATAAGAGAGGTAAATAGAGAGCCTACATCCTGGGAACAAATCTTTACTCCTCACACTTCAGATAGAGCCCTAATATCCAGAGTATACAAAGAACTCAAAAAATTAAACAATAAGATAACAAATAACCCAATCAACAAATGGGCCAAGGACCTGAACAGACACTTCTCAGAGGAGGACATACAATCAATCAACAAGTACATGAAAAAATGCTCACCATCTCTAGCAGTCAGAGAAATGCAAATCAAAACCACCCTAAGATACCATCTCACTCCAGTAAGATTGGCAGCCATTATGAAGTCAAACAACAACAAGTGCTGGCGAGGATGTGGGGAAAAGGGTACACTTGTACATTGCTGGTGGGACTGCAAATTGGTGCAGCCAATTTGGAAAGCAGTATGGAGATTTCTTGGAAAGCTGGGAATGGAGCCACCATTTGACCCAGCTATTCCCTTTCTTGGTCTATTCCCTAAAGACCTAAAAAGAGCATGCTACAGGGACACTGCTACATCGATGTTCATAGCAGCACAATTCACAATAGCAAGACTGTGGAACCAACCTAGATGCCCTTCAATAGATGAATGGATAAAAAGAATGTGGCATTTATACACAATGGAGTATTACTCTGCATTAAAAAATGACAAAATCATAGAATTTACAGGGAAATGGATGGCATTAGAGCAGATTATGCTAAGTGAAGCTAGCCAATCCCTAAAAAACAAATGCCAAATGTCTTCTTTGATATAAGGAGAGTAACTAAGAACAGAATAGGGTCGAAGAGCATGAGAAGAAGATTAACATTAAACAGGGATGAGAGGTGGGAGGGAAAGGGAGAGAGAAGGGAAATTGCATGGAAATGGAAGGAGACCCTCAGGGTTATACAAAAGTACATACAAGAGGAAGTGAGGGGAAGGGGAAAAATAATACAAGGGGGACAAATGAATGTCAGTAGAGGGGGCAGAGAGAGAAGAGGGGAGGGGAGGGGAGGGGAGGGGAGGGGGGATAGTAGAGGATAGGAAAGGCAGCAGAACACAACAGACACGAGTATGGCAATATGTAAATCAATGGATGTGTAACTGATGTGATTCTGCAATCTGTATATGGGGTAAAAATGGGAGCTCATAACCCACTTAAATCAAAGTGTGAAATATGATATATCAAGAACTATGTTTTGAACAGCCAACAATAAAAAATTAAAAAAAAAAAAGAAAAAAAAATTAACTAAAACACAACCACAAAAAAAAAAAAAAAGAAAGTTTATTTAAACAAACAAACAAACAAAAACTTACAGGGTTATTTCAGGGATTAAATGAAATGCCCATTCAAGACCAAAACCATCAAGTCTAATACTTAGCTCTGTTAGTTTTCAATCTGCACTATTGTAAGGACTTCTGATTGGAACAAAGAGGAAACATTGGAAATGACTGAAGTGTTGAATCTTCCAGCAGGTACTGTAGGTACAATTAGAGCAAGTTTTTGTTCCTCAAATGTCAGTAGAATTAGTGTTCTAAGATGATTCTTAATTTTGAAAAGATAAAACGTGGTGTTTGTATCATCACAGCATTAAAAATTGCTAACTGGTGCTTAAGGACATGTGCTGGAGCACTTCAGCAGGATCTCTTGTAATGCTTGAGAATGAGATAGGGCATGATTGGAATGGGCTTTTCTGTCAGCAGAGAAAAGGCCACTAGAAAGATTACTTGATCACATTTAGGCCAGTGTCTTCAGTGTGGTGATAAAAGAAGTAAAGGAAATTCAAAATGCCTGGATGTATTTGAAAGGCAGGGACTGGCAGACTGATATCTAAAACTTCACACCTCCCAACTTTTTTTTACTAAAAGCATAGTAGGGAGGAAATCATAAAGTTAAGCAAAAACTTTATATATGATAAACCAAAACTTATTTAAATCCTCAAGAGCTCCTAAAACTTGGGGCTGAATATCAGTGCTCCCCTTACCCCTTAATGATCTCACATCTTCCCCATTTGCTCTCTGCAGAAGAATTACAGCAACTGCGGGACCGCTACCAATTCCTGAATGAGGAGTACCGGACCCTGAAGGAGAGCAACAGCAGCCTCACAGGGCAGCTATCCCAGCTGGAGAGTGAGAGGTACAACCAGGAGGCAGGGGCACTGAGATTCTGTCTTGGGAATTCCCTGAAAGGCAGAGGCCAGGGTCATGAGTGTTCCTGTCTTCCCAGAGAGCCAGACCTTTCTGTGGTATCCCAAGGGTACAGAGACCATTTGGAAGCAAACATGGGATCCTACCCAATTGTCTCAGGACAAGAGTTCAGTGAATTTGATTTTCTTCCATTTTCAGCATTGCTCTGCCCTAGAGTAGATCAGAAGAGATTCCTTTGTTGTCCCCACAGACATGATTCAGTCTAATGGCACAAAGCCTCCAGGCTGTTAGCTGACTTGACACCAGGCCCATCCTTAAAACCAACTGGATCAGCACTCTTATGGTGTCTCAGAGCCAAACATGCCTCTGCAGATGAGGCTCTAGAGACTTTCTGTAATCTTCAAAACATGTTTATTTGAGGAGTGAATCACAATAGGTCTCTAACTATATTTGGCCTAAACAGAAGGCCTCAGAACTGAGCACACTTGTATGATGATATGAGGCAGGGTTCCCCCAAACATGTCTGTGGGTTCTGGTTTTCAGGACACGAAAAGCAACAGAGAAGTGGCTGGAGTGTCAAACAGCAAAGAGTATGATATCGTCAGAGTCTCAGACCTCAGAAGTGGATTTCCTAGAGCCTGATCCTGAAATGCATTTGTTGCGCCAGCAGCTGCTAGATGCTGAGCAGCAGATGCATAACATGCAGAGTAAGGTAGGTCTCTTGAGGGTGGGGAGGCAGGCCCTTTCCACCCTTTCGTTTCACCTTCTCCTGGTCTATGATAGGCACAGGGCTAATAAAGCAGGTGTGCACTGTGATAGTAGAGAGTGTTCTAGGGTCTTGATAACTTGCCTGATGTAAATATAGCCATATGCCACATAATGACATTTTGATCACTAACGGATTGCATAAACCATGGTGGTTCCATAACATTGTAATAGAACTGAAAAAAATTCCTATCACCTACTACTGTGGTAGTGCAACACAGTATCATACTCATAGTAATGCTGGCGTAAACAAACCTGCACTGCCATCCTGTAAAAATACAACATATACAGGTACATACAGTACTTAGTAATGATCATAAGTGATTATGCTACTGGTTTATGTATTTACTATACTATACTGTATTTTTATTATTATTTTAGAGTTACTCCTCCTACTTAGAAAAATAACAAAAGTTTTTTTTATACAGTTTTCCATGTATACCATGTTATTCAGCCTATTGATTGAATTGTTTTCTCTTGTGCTTCATTTGATCTTGTGATGTTTAATTCATCAGAGCCCTAGAAGCAATAGCCTATGCCATATGTATATGTACCACATAGCCTAGGTGTGTAATAGGCTATACCATTACAGTCTATGTAAATATAGTCTGTGATGTTTGCACAATGATTCAATGGCCTAACAACACATTTCTGAGCATAAGTCCATGTTGTTAAGTTACACATGACTATATTTCAAAGGAATGCATACTCTCCCCAAACGTATTCCTGGAGCACATATAGCACTTGTCATAAATCAGCCTCCCTGTTTCATTTCTTGCACAGTGTAAGGAATTGTGTTGTGAGTTGCAAGAGCTACAGCATCATCGCCGTGTCAGCGAGGAGGAGCAGAAGCGGCTGCAGAAGGAGCTCAAATGTGCCCAGAATGAGGTGCTTAGGTTTCAGTCATCTCACACGGTCATGCAGGTAAACACTGCCAGGGGAGGCACTTAGGAGGGTAGGAGGGCCTGCATGGAGTCACTGCTTCAGCAGAGGCTAGACAAAAGGAGCAAAAGACAAAGGTCTGCTGACCCTTGCCCTACAATCAGGGTCCCAGACTACTGGAGAAGCCAGTTATAGAAGCCACACAGCATGGCATTCTAGAAATGGTGGTCATTGTTGAGTGTCTGCCTTGCCAAAGAAACCAAATCATAGACCCAGGGAGCTTTTCAAGCCATCTGCCCCTGAAAAGGACCATAGTGACCTGAAGAGGGGTCTGCTATTTCCTGAGAGTGACTGTTCCTCCCTCACCCTCCCCACCAAGAATGAGGAGCTAAAGACCAGGCTCTGTGATCTGCAGAAAAAGTATGATGCCAGCCAGGACAAGCAGAGCGAGCTCTTGAAGGTGCAGGTGCAGCTTCAGACTGAGCTCAGGCAGCTTAAAGTCATGAAATCCACAATTATAGAGAGCCAAAGTGAGAAGGTAACAGCACCCAGAGGTTAGGGAATGACCCAGAGTATTTGTCTGAGGTCAAGGAAAGGTAAATAAAGAGTAAAGTTTCAAATAAATCCAGCCATTGCCTAGGCAGTACCACATGTGAATATCCCCAACCCCTTTCAAGTGCTGCCTTAGGTCAGAGGACAAGCAGAAAGTGAAGGGAGGGAGGAGTAATTGCATAGCCTGTCAGTGGCTGAGAGAGTCAGGCAGAAGGGCAGGAGGTTATGGACCCTGCAGTGCTGCCCAGAGCCCCCTGCACTGCAGGAGTTATTATGCCGGCTCCAGAAGATGCAAGTCCAGCACCAGAACATCTCAAGTGAGAAGGAAAAGCTACTGGAAGTGCAGCATCAGCTGCAGGAGAAGCTGCGGTGCCATGAGGCAGAGTTGCAGCACCTTCGGAATATTGTGGCCTCCTTGCAAGAAAGTGATGAAAAGGTAATAGGAGGGCCAGGTGATAGAAAGTGTAGGCAGGCAGGACCCTTGGGGAGGTGAGAGCACAGAAATATGGGTGTGTTAGAAGCTCTGTGGAGTAGCTCCTGGTAAGGGAGCAAAGAGGTGTGCCAGGAAAGCCCTTCTGTAGGAGTCACAATGCCCACAGCTTCCTTTGATTTTAAATCAGAAAATCAGTCTAGGAAGCCCCTTTCTTGCCCCAACTCCCTCCAAAGGAAGCCCTACAAGTACTGGGTTTTGAGCCTATTAGGGATGGGTCCATCTGAGGTCTCCTTGGCTGGAATGAAATCAGAGCTAGAAAGGATGGGAGGATGGAAACCCAGTCCCCATTCAAAGTACATAGCAGGTTACCTGGGATGATGGTCATTCCTGCCTCTCCCAACCAGAACAAAAAGATTCAAGTCCAGTTTCGTGAGGTGAAGCAGCTGTACGAGTCTAGCACGAATGAGCTGGAGCAGCAGAAGCACATGTCCAACCAGCTAGAGCAGGACCTCCTGCTCTGCCAACTGGAACTAAAAGAGCTCAAGAACACCCAGAACATTCCTGAGGACAAGGGAAAGTGTTTCAATAAGGTAATTACAGTGCAGAGTGAAAAGCACTCCTGGGCATCTGCTTTGCAGAGAGGAGGTATAGCGGCAAGAGGTGAAGTTCTCAATCAAGAGCCTTAGTGGGCTTCCTAGGCAGGAAGAAGAGGCAGAGACACATGTTTAGAACAGTTTTCCTTGATCTTGACTTTGATCCAGAGCTCAAAGTACATCTAGATCCCAGCAATTACACACCTGGCTGTTTTCACGCATAATTCTATGTATGTAGATGTTTGCACATTGATTTAGCAACTGCAGTGATATCAGGCCATTTGTGGAGAAGAACATACACATAGGTTCATGTTACTGTTGGAACTAGAAAGCTGAGCCAGTTTTCTGAGGCAGATTGCAAGTACTCTTTTTAGGGGGTATGGTCTGTGTCTAGAGTGCTGCTTGAGTATTAGAAGGACCTAGACTCTTCCAGGATTTATTCTGTGACTTAGTGTGGTGATAGTCCCAAGACTTGATATTGCCCTTCTTAAATTGAATAGAGTGTTACTATTATCTCAATTGCTGTTAGTATTAAATCCTAGTAGGATAAATAAGACCTTATTTACTTTTTCTTTTTCCATGGTATATAAAATGCAAACTGTTGGGTGTGATGGTGCATGCTTATAATTCAACTCTGGAGGCTGAGGCAGGAGAATTGCAAGTTCAAAGCCAGCCTCAGCAACTCAGTGAGGCCCTACCTAAGTAACTCAGTGAGACCCTGTCTCTAAATAAAATACAAAAAAGAACTGGGCATGTGGCTCAGTGGTTAAGTGTCCCTGGGTTCAATCCCCAGTACCAAAAAAAAAAAAAAAAAAAAGGCAAACCAATGCCATTACTCAGTTGAGTGCTTTCAGCCCCTGATTACTGATAGGAAGTGGAAAGATGTTGAAGCATTTTGGAGAAAAGGCCCAAGAATTCTGCCAGAATACACAGCAATCCCTGCCATGGCCAACATCAGTGTTCCTACTAGGGAGAGGCCTTTAGGAGATAAGGAGAGGGAATGTTACAGTCTACTTACCTTTCTGTGCACAGGTTTAGGAGATACATGATTTCCTTGTCACCTCCCCTCTTCATAAAAGTCTTTGGGAAAGGAGAAGCATGGTGGCATACAAAGCTAATCTGTTCTGTAGTCATAGAACAGCACTGAGAGTCATTTGATATTAGAGGACTTAGAAGACGAAATCATAGAATGATTTAGTCTTAAACCAAATATAGTAATGGCTCATACTTTTCTAAAGTTTTTAAGAGATGATTAGGAAAACAAAAATGGGAAAAATTAGAGTAAAATTAAGTCCTTATTGATAAGTAGCATGATTAGGTTCAAAAACAACTGATGCTAATGAAAGTAATCAGAATTGGAGCTCCTGTCAGCATGAGAAGGTAGTTAATACACCAAAGGAAAGAGCCAGAGACAGGAAGACAGGAAGGAAGAAGGGAGGGGCATTGATAGCACTCACGCTCAGTCTGCTTTCTGAAGGGACTGGCACAGGGAATTTAGAACAAGCCACTGCCCATCCAGAGCAGCCTGCTGACTGCTGGGGCTCCCCCCTTAGCATGGAGGCCCAGTCTTCATGGGATGATCAGTCCAAGGTGATTGAATGGGGAGGGAGACCCTGGGAATTCACAGGAGGCAGGCGAGCACACAAATGCTCTGCTAGCCCCCCAGAAGTGTACTTCACAGAGTAACCATGCCTGCATGCCCCACCCTACCCACAGTGTGGTGCACTGGTGTCCAAGCTGACAGAATTGCAGGACAAGTTCAAGGTCAGCCAGAAGGAGATGGGGCAGCTGCAGATGGAGCAGTGTGAACTCCTGGAGGATCAGAGGAGGCTGCAGGAGGAGCAGGGCCAGCTGCAGGAAGAGTTGCACAGGCTCATATACCCCACACCCAAGTGTGGCCTCTTCAATAAGGTATCCACAGCTAGTTAAAGGCTGCTGCCTATGAAGAGGCTGCATTGAAAAACTGTGACTGTCCCTGGGAAACATAAATGGGTGGGGATTGAACCTTTTCCTTTCTTAGCCGACATTCCTTCCTTTCTCCCAATCTCCCCACATTAAACAGATCCACAGAGCTAATTCAGGTTTTTCCTCATAAGGGCTTTAAATCTTAAAAATACATTTTATGCTCAGGAATCTGCAACATTTTACTTTTAGTACCTCTTGAGGAAATGCACCTGAAAGTACTTTGTTAACTACAAAATACATTCACAAACAAGAGGTCGTTGCTATTCAATGAGTAGGTCTTCATAGAAAACCCCTTCCCCCAATCCTGTGCCCAGGGGACTGTATGAAGAAACTAACAACAAAGATTGGGGGAGCTTAAGACTTGCCATTGAACTGCCATTCTTCCTCCTTCCTCTGCTCTACTCAGAGTCAGGAGCTGCTTGCAAAGTTACAAGACCTATGTGAGCTGCAGCTGCTCTACCAAGGCATGCAGGAGGAACAGAAAAAACTGATACAGAACCAAGAGTGTGTATTAAAAGAACAGTTAGAGGCACATGAAGAGCTACGAGGTCTCAAAGAGTCTCATTTCCAGGAAGTATTGGAGAATCCTGAGGATGCCAAAAAGCATAAGTTCTCAAATTCTGGTCAGAACAAGGTAATCATGGGAAAAGAAAGGGAGATGGGTCGCCAGAGCACACCAGCATTGCAGGGAAAGAAGCTACCCAGAAGGGTCAGAGTCAGGAAGGCCTATTTGGCAGGAGACAGATGAAGCCTTGACCTTCACCAGCCAGAGCCACCATAGGCTCCATTATGATGTGGCCTTAGATGCACTGGGGACCTCACCCAGAGGCATGCCAGCTGAAGTCCTGCAAGCACTTAGAACAAAGCTGGGATGACCCAGAGGTCTGTAATCTGACCATTGGACTCAGTCCCATTGAGATATCATTTTCAAGATTTATAATATCAATTCAGTGTTTGTTTAGATTCCTGTGGACTGAATCTAAGTATGTCATCCTTTTCCTATGAGTTCAAAAGTAAACTTCTCCATTTTTAAAATCTATATAACCTTTTGCTGCTTTCTATGAGGCTAATCTGAGCCCATTCATCTCCAAAGGAAACATTCCTATTCAGAGTTCTCAATACTGACTATACTCTCTTCATTGGGCTAGATCAGGAGTGTTCGACCAGAAAATTGGTTTGTCTCAAGCTCTTATCAGGAGGTCAGGCATATTGAGGTCACACAGTCAGAAATTTCCATGCAAGTCTATTCAGAGTTGGGAGATAGATTTGGTCTGAGGTCTCAGCATGAAAAAGGAAGAGCAGGTGGATAGCTTTAATTTAGGCTGAATCTGTTCCTTCAAATATTAAACTGAACAGGAGAACTAGGGAATAGCAATAGTTCAAACTATGAGTCTTGGTCACATTCCAGGGGCATCAAATATCTAGGCTGAAAGCCTGGGTAACACAGAGACAGGGATCCAGGTATAAAGTATTTCCTTAACTGATCAGATCTCATCCTAGGCATAAGCAGCCAAGAAGGCAGGCCCAGAGAGCCTGGGAAACATGCCCAGGAGGCCAGGTTCAGAATCAGGGCAGGAAGTAAAGGACCAGTGATAAGACCTTGATTCCAAGCCTATACCTTCTCAGGAAGGATTTACTTAGAGGTGCACATTTGAATCCAGAGCTGGTTTTAACATTAGGGGTTGGGTAGAAGACCAAGCCTAAAGATCAGGATAATGGATACACCTGACTAAGAAGAGGGTGAGGTAGTGAGCCAGGATGTCCTTGAGACTACTACGCTGCTCTCAGGAGAGAAGGATGTGCCAGAGTGCAGAAACCAGCAGAAGTGGGAACCCCCAAATCATGGAGTATCTGCCCTGGGAATATTTTCCCAAATGTACAGAAAGCTGACACATGCCCAATCACCTGGAGGCTTAAGTCAAAGATATAGGTCTGGGGAGTCTGAAGGGTAGGTATGCACTTCTCTTAGGTATGCACTTAGACACTGGGACTGAAATGTCTTTTAGAGTAATGGTGATGTCTCCCACCCCTACCCCTGGCAGTCCAAGTTGCTCCTGGAGGATCTACAGGCTCTGAAGGCGCTGTATATCTCCAGTCAGAAGGAACAGGAGCTATTGCAGCAGGAGCATGGGAGGCTCCTAGAGGAGCGGAAGAGGCTGCAGGCAGAGATGCAGCTCTGCCTGGAAGAAATGCAGCTGCTCCAAGTGCAGTCCCCCTCAATAAAAATGAGCCTTGAGTCCTGCAAGAAGAACTCTGACAGTGTGATTCCCAGCAGTGAGAACTTTCACAGGAGTTATGCAAGCACCATTGATGGCAAGGAAAGTTTTCTTAAGAATTATGGTACCAGCCAGGCCAGCAGTGAGTCCTTCCTCAAGAGCTATGCCAGCACTATGGGTGCCAGTGAGACTTTTGCAAAGAGTTACCTCTCCAGTGGCAGCAGCAGCATCTCTAAGAAGAGTTATGGCACCACCAGTAGTTCTAACAGTTATCATAAGAGTTATATCAGCAGCATCGCTGATGAGGAACCAGTTGTGCCTGAAGACATGGAGGTAACCATCCTCAGGTTAGGCAGGGGATTATAGGCTCTTGTCTTTCTAAGAGAAATGTCACCAGGGGAAGGGCACAAGAAGTGAGATGGGAATGGGGTCACAGCTGACCTGGGAAACTCCTGGAAGCAAGCAAGGCTTTCACTCATGGTGGCCCTGCCTCCTCTTCAGTCCCTCTCCTACAGAGGTGCCCCCACAGGACTGAGGACTGTCATCAACACAGTCAGATACTCCTTATGGGGAAAATTACAGTGTCTCCCTGGGCAGTTTCAGATCCCTGTGGCCACTGTTTTGTGTGCAGGGAAGGGCCTAGCAAAGTGTGGGGCAGAGTCAGAGCTTCTTGGGGTGCCGTCATTGCTCCCCTACCCCCTGCAGCACTTTGAAACGGTGGCCAAGGTGCTGACCAAGCTGCAGGCAGTGCAGGCCCTGTACCAGGTGAGCCAAGAGGAACATTCCCGACTGCAAGAGCAGATGAGCACGCTGGTGGACCAACAGAAATCGCTGAGGGAAGAGCTGGAGACCTGCGAAAAGGAATTCAAGGAGTGCATAGAAAGCCTGGAGAAATCTGCAGCCCCCCAGAACGACAGGAGTGAGGTAACTGATGCCAGGGAGGCAGGGTTTCTCCTAGGAGTCCCAAAAGCCGGAGGAGGGGATGGCTACTTCAGAGAGAATACAAATATACGGCAGACAAGGAGACTGAATTCCAGCAGGCCAGGCAGTTTGCTGCATGTGGTGGACACCGCTCAATCTGAGGGACATTTCTCAGGTGCCCACTGAGCTAGTCATCTAGACACCTCTCCTGGAACTATCCTCTTCTTCCTTTTATTATTTCTCTCTTTTGCTCTATGTCCTAGAGAACTTCTGTGGAGCTATACTTTTTCACTTTCCAGTTTTCTTTATTATTTTGTATGCATTTGTCCAGTCTCCCCAGCTAAACTATAAATACTTCAAGGACAGACCACATCTTCTTTTGGGTCTCTCAATAATGCCAAGAAAAGTGCTCTGCATTTGCTAGGATGGGAGAAGAGGCATTGTCTCTGATGTTGCTCACATTCCAGTGAAAGGGTCTCTATGCATCTGGGAAAGATCACTAGACCAAGTAGTGCCCACCAGGTGGATCCATCACCCAAGGAAGACAAAACCTGAGATTAGGGAGCTGGGTTTTAATTTGCCTGTTTCTTGAGGGAAGGTATGGAAGCCTAGTACACTCTCAGATGTGTGCAACATAGCTCCTTAAGTCAACATACCTATGAGAGAAATGGGTTGGGTGATATAGGAGTTCCCATCAAAACAATAATATAAATTATTCCCCAGACAAGTTATGCAAAGAAAAAAAAAAAGCCCACAAAACAAAAAAACCCATAATTTGTCTTTTTTTTTTTTTTTTAATCTTGTCAGATGTAAATTTCAGATGCCTCTAGTTAGGGAAAAGCTATTTATAAAACTGTTTAAGAGGCTTATTTTCCAGTTTAATGTTTTCTTTATTGTCTACTTCCTCATGGGCTTTAGCAGGTAGATATTTGAAGCAGTGACCCCCAAGCAGGGCCCAGGCTTATTGCAAGGGCCCAGCTCTGGGTAATTGGCCCCACTACCAACAGATCAAAGAACTGCAGACCAAGCTGCGGGAGCTGCAGCTGCAGTACCAGGCTAGCATGGATGAACAGGGGCGGCTCCTGGCAGTGCAGGAGCAGCTGGAGGGGCAACTGCAGTGCTGCCAGGAAGAACTCCACCAGCTTAAAGAGAGAAAGTCGTCCTATGTTGGCAAAGAGGCCAGGGGAAAGAATGGCAATAAGAACATGAACAAGAATGCCAACGGGGTTGAAAAGAAAAAGGTGACCAAGCCATCCTATGACAATTCTGAGGGCAACTTTGAGAACACAAAGGTGAGTCACAGCTCTAGCACCCATTTTGTTAGGAGGGTGGAGGAGGCGCTGGGAGGAATAATCATCTCCATGGCCATTTCTGCCAGGTGAGGTTCTTGTACAAAGGCTTCTGGGATCCTTAAGTGTCACCAGTAGTTGGGACTCCCTTTTCTCCGGAGTGGTGGGGAGGGAGGATGCAGTGCCTTAAGCTGAACAACTGTTCCCACTGGCCCAGCCCCATTTCCAGGGCCTCTGTTCTTCCTGAGTTACATGTGCAAGAGAAGACCAACCAGATACAGGGAAAGGGATTTATTCAGAATAGTTGTGTACTAATAAGTGAAAGGATTGGGCACTATAAGAGTCACTGTGAGGGGTGGGAAGGAAAAGCAGAGGCACAGAGCCCAAGAATTGTGAGCTGTTTGAAAGGGCTTAATGGCCGGTTAGAGTATTGGCCCCAAGAGGTTAGGTGTGACTACCTTCCACATTATGCTCAGAGAGATTGGCTTGCAGTCCGAGAACATAGCACTACATCCTGGCACAGTAACATGATGCAATAGTTTTCTGAAGATAGTGCAGCACTGTCAAGAGAGTAGGATTCTTCATGGGTAACAGCAGCCCTCATCCTGCCCTACCTCCACCCTGCAGTCTCTGGAGGTGGTACTGTACTACACGGCTAGCCAGAGCCAATTAGATGAGCTAGCAAAAGAGGAGGAAAAGAAAGAGGAGGTGGGAGAGCCAAAACAGGAAGAAACAAAAGAGGAAACCATGGAGCTTCACTCAGATGAGCTAGCTACTGAGCCAACAGATACTAAGGAGGCTAAGACAACAGAAGATCACGAGGAAGAAAATGAAGAGTACAGTGAACAGAAGAAGGAAGAAGATAATGAAGAAGACGATGACAATGACTCTTCCCCTGAGACTTCTGAGGAAAACAACCCTCTTAAACTTTCTGAAAGTAAAAAGGTAACCACAACCAAAGGTTGGATCAAGTGGGAAATGGGCCTTGGGCTCAGGCACCCTGGTGTTCAGGACTGGCCCTGCCAAGGATGGGCTTCTATCAGAGCATAGGCAAACCAGTGCAAGGGTTGGTACTCAGGGAACTGGGTATGCAGAAGGGTTGGAGAATGCAGTTCCTCTAAGGGAAATGGCAGGCTTAGACCAATTTGTTATGGAACCATCTCACAATGACCACCTTTTCTGAGGAACAAGATGGGATCTCTGGAGTCTTGTTTCCTTACATTTGCATAGTAGCCCTTGTTATGTTTCTCTGCCAAGAGGGTTCCCTCGTTCCTGTCTTTGCACTACATGAAGGACCTTAATAGTGTGAGGCCTTCTACGGAACATTTCTGTCAGCTTGGGCAAGTCACTCAGTCCTGTTTTCCATTGGTACCATATTAGGTTTAACCTTTGTCATTGCTGTTAGGGGGTATGGGGAAGGTGATAATCTCTTTTTATAGGCTTGTGCCACCCATTGGGTTCCAAATACTGCAGGACATGAGGGTGGGGTGGGGGGGTGATAAGAGTGATTACAACAGGGGCTTTATCTGGTCCATGACTAGCTATAGCCCTAACCCCTTTGGTTGTTGGATCTTTGAGAGATTATGGTAGAGGTATTATGGGGGGAGGTATGCCAGGATAACAAGCATAATTTACCAACTGTACAGAAGTATTTCCATCTTAAAAACTGGTCCATCTGTATAGGTATGTACCAGCTGAATTCCTGCCCTGGGTTTTTTGGGGGCTCTGGGGTTTGAGTACTTCCTGAGAAAGTCCTCAGTTTATAGTATAGGTCCTTTCTGTCCCTCTAAACACAGGAAAGGAAATAAGTCTCTTGTGCCAGGATAACCCAGTCAATTCTAAGGATAGCTGGAATTTTCCAGTCATTCATTCTGTAGCATTGGTTAAGGATCCATTGTGAAGTTCTCTGTTAACCTTGTGGCAGAGGACTACTACCTAGGATGTAGTCCGTAGAAGCAACTGCTACATTTCTTTGAACTCCTCATATTCTACCACATGGTGGTTCAGAGCTTCATAGAAATCTTGAGGGACCACATTTATAAAGCCAGATCTGATTTTTGTACTTCAAAATCAAGTCTATTCCTTGTGTCTATGCATGGAGTTACCCCCTTTGCCCCAGTGGGTCCTGTACTTTCTCTTTTTGTGGGGCACTCAGATGGTATATTTATTATTGCCTATAAAATTCAGTTTCTCTAGACAACTGTTTTGTCAAAGAACTAACCCTTCTCCATTGTCTTAGTGCACTTTCTCTCACAACTAATGTACCAGATTCCTAGGGTATCATAGGAACTAGAGCTTAAAATTCTAAGAAACTTGATAGAAAATAAGCCAGATAGATGACCTGGCCAAAGACGGGCTTTTCCTATAGTGATTAGGAAGTGTCCACCCTATTTCTCTAAGGAAGCTCAGTTTACTCTGGAGCTTCACTTTTCCAGAGTCCAGCCTACAACAAAGGTCTAAGTGCAGATAACTCCTGCTTGACCAGATATGAGAAGTACACGACAAGACAGAAAACAGGCCTTGCCCCAGATGTGGATCTAGCTGCTGCTCAACCCATTCAATTTTGTGACTTCTGTAGGCTGCCAGTGGGAAGAACTCCTCTGCTCTCCTCAGGGCCCAGGGGCAGAGAAAAAATGCTACTGTTCTACCCTACATGATTTTTAACCTCTGGATTCTTTTCTCTTTCCCCTTTGTTTTCTCATCTTCATTATCTGTTGGATTCGTGTGTTTATGTCTTTTCATACCATTTCACATCTCCTGGTCTCTCCTTGTGCTTTTCTCTCATTTGACGTGTTGCAGCCATCCCCTGCCCCCGATCCCCCCATCTTCTCTTTGCCTCTTGTAGGCCTGGTGGTCATATCGGCTCTGCTCTGGTGCTGGTGGGCTGAGACATCATCCTAACGCAGGTACTGGTATTGCTTCCTCCTCTTTCCTCTCAGCTGCTTGCTTCTTGCTTTGGCCACTATACAACAGGTGATGCTCAGGTCTGTTTTACCTCGGCTTTTCCTCCAGCTGTCACAATGCCTATAACTTCTCGAGCATGTCTTCATGGAGTACAGAATGCACAGGAAGTTGGAATGTTTACTAAAGGCATGGTTTGAGTTTCTATCCTTTGCTGGGAAAAAGTTGGATTAACCCAGCACTGTTGCTACTATCAAAACTGCCCAACTACTTCTGATGAGCTGATGTTTGTCTGAAAGGCTGCCTTGGGCTCTCTTTGTCTTTTTTAACCCCCAAGCCAATTTCTCATCATTGCTTCTATGCAGGATGACAAAATAAGGAGTCACTCCCTCTTCCCATGGAGGGGGAAGGGGTTAGAAGAGCTTTAATTCTTCTGATCTCCCCAGGAGCATTCAAATGAGAGCAACCTAAATTGATCCTTCAACCTTGATGAAAGTGGAACTGAACCCCTAACCATATTGTGCACCTTGTCTTGAAAAGTTCTCTGGTTTGGGTACTTCTAGTCTTCAGAAAAATTAGAAAAGAATACCAGGAAATATTTTTTAGTTCTCTGATTATCCCTTTTGGAGGCCAGATTCCATTGTAATTGATTTCCTAAGCTAAGTTTTCTAAAGAGAATACAGTACTAATGAAAAGTTTGTACTAGCTACAGATGTAAGTATTCTTAGGAAATCAAGACTGATACATTCTGGGCACCTCCCAGTTGGCCCCAGTTCATGTAATCTTATCTGTCAATGGAATACCAAATTCATGAGGCAGATTGTGGTCTCATGGCCCTGGGGTTCCACCTGTTTTCTGGAACCCATACACTATTCCTTCTTGTTCTGTTTTGCCTCCAATCTCATGTTCTCCCTGCCGCTTTCCCTCCCCTATCCTCTCTTCTCACATCCCTGTAAGTGAGGTGTAGTTGGCTTAAGGCATAGGTTTGGAGGGGCAGCCGAAGCATTTTTTGATGGTACCTCTCACCGTTTCCCTTGCTGTCCCTCCTTTTTTCTCTTTCCTATTATACTTCATGACAGTCTTTAGCTTCTTTAGTGACAGCAGTCTCTCCTTACATCTTTTCCTCCACTGCACACCCTCAGATGTCTTCAGTACCTATAAAGTAAGACCCAAAGCACCCAGCTGTAGCCTCTCACCAGACCCTATCAGAATGAGAGGAAAGAATTGTTGCCTAAAGTTCCTTTCACAGCAGCCTCTTATTCCCAGAGCTCTAGTTAAGCTCTGACTTGAGGTAGCATAGTGTAGTAGAATGTGTGACTGACAAGTGGTGAGGAGAGCTTGGTCGAGTCTATCTTTTCTTACAAAGCTTTGTCTCAGCAAAATGTGTCATCTGAACTTAATTTCCTCAAATATATTATGTTTGACTAAGCTCTGTGTTCCTAACCAGGCTTCTATGAGGATCAGATAAGTGAATGTATATGAAAGTACCATAAAGTATCAATAACAAAAAGAGCATAAACTTATATAATACATACTGTGTGTTGGACACCCATATAGCACTACATATATTAATTAATTTGATCTTTACAGCAACCCTAGGAGGAAGCTCTACTATTGTCATTTTAAACATGATAAAACTGAGGCATAGAGAGGTGACTAAAAGCCTGGAAATTGTGAATTGGATTTTAAGGACTTAATATTAGCTACAGATAAAAACTCTAATTCCATTTTTTTCCCATTTTGAGCACTTTTCTCTAGTTGGCTCCAAGTAGCAGGAAGATGCCATATACTTCTGTTTATGCAACCTCAAATCTCATTAGCTTTTTTGGTAACTAATGTCATCGATTTGCTTCATGTCTTGTTTATAAAACCCCTTTGTACATTGCTTATGCTAAGCATCACCTTCTGATTCTGTACTAGCATTTGATTGTTTTGGATCCAAAGGCAGAAATTTCCTTTTATCCATATCAGATATAGTCCATTGTTCTAACCTATGGAGTGTTTTGTTTGTTTGTTTGTTTTTATCTTGGCCCTCTGTTTTCAAAATATTGACTTTCCTTGTCAGCTCCATGTTATCCTCAGGGGTGACAAGCCCACCAGGAGGACTTTATCCTCCTGATGACTTCATCCAAGTCACAAGCAAGGACCCAAGCCGGGAGTGGTGGTGCATATCTGTAATCCCAACTCCTTGGAAGGCTGACACTGGAGGATCATAGGTTTCAATCCAGCCTGGGCAACTTTGTGAAATCCTGTTTCAAAATAAAAAATAAAGGCTGGGGATGTAACTCAGTGGTAGAGTGCCTCTGGGTTTAATCCCTAGTACCGAAAAAAAAAAAAAAAAAAAAGAAAGAAAAGAACAGAACAGTGGGTATCCAACTTCTAGGGTGCCAGTTCTCTTTTATTTAGCTTATTGACCACTTAACAAATGGTCATCCTAATCTTATTTCCTCATGTTATCTGCAAGAATTTTAAGAAAAATCTTGTCAAACACCTTGGTTAAGTCTCAAAACATGATTTCCTTGATCTATCAATTTAATAATGCAGTGCAGAAGCCTGCAATTTCTAGAAGCCTGTGATTTCTTGAAGCCTATAACTTCCTCCTTTGGAAAACCCAAACCATTCCTTTGTGTCCAGTCCAGAATCTTGATTCTGCTCAATGTATGTATAGTGCACCAGTTAGCATTTATGGATTTCAGCTCTTTCCTCCTTTAAGAACATTAGACTGACATTTTTAGCAATGTGCATCAGGATATTAACATCTATGCATGTAAACATTTTTCCTAGCACCCTTCTCAGTTATTTTCTTTGTAGATTAGTCTGTATATGCACTTCCAACATTATTTTTGCTTTCTATTAGATATTTCTTGTTCCACCGTGTAACTATTTCTACAAATTTAGAGGATTTTCTTTGTTATTTATAGTTATCTTAAAATCTTTGTTTTAGATCAGTTATTCTCTGAGCAAATGTATTCTTATTAATGGATTTTATTCCATCTTTACCAAAAGACATCCTTTTACTTTATGCCATAGCTCTTGACTCAATATTAAAATTTCATCTTTCACATAATAAGTAAAAAGAGTAACAAAAATGGGAACTATTTCCCCAAGTATGTATTTTCTTATCTGAGGTTTCATTTCTTAAAGGGTATTTTGTGGATCTCTTCTGATGGTGTTATTTGTTGCCCATGAATCAGCAGAGTTCTCCAGTGGCCAGCAGTGTGTAGAAGGCTCAGCATACTACAACACATGTGCTAGGAAGCCAGTCCACACTCTTTTGACATTTGCTTCTCAGGGCAATTAACACTTCCCTTGAATTTCCTTGAACTGACATCCTTCTGTGCATAAGGTCTGGCTGTATAAAGGACCTCCTGTGCACTTGTACTCCTTCACTTCCCTTCCTTCCTCTTGGCTCTGAGTTGTTTCTCCTTCACAAAGCTTACTAGGAAAGGCCACTTTCCCTGAAGATCCAGCTTTACCCTCTCCCTTCTTGCTACAGCATCTACCCTTTCTCAAGCATCCTCATGGAGAATCTGCAATCTGGCCCATGAGCTTGCCTCCACATTTAAGGACCAGTATTCTCATTCTTTGGGGAGAAAGGAAGACTTACACACAAGTGTCACCTGAGGTGACATGTACAGTGTTGCACCCCATATCTAGTGTCAGGAAGAAGAGACCATGTGATCTCCACCGCTTACCTGGGAGGTGAGAGAAGCTGAACCATGATGTTCCTGAGGTGTCCCTTTCTGGCACAAGCCGGCAGGTGATTTCTGGCTTTGGGAAGGGTTCAGAAGGCTGGAAACTCACGTTTTTCTTTGGTCCCCACAGAACATGTTTGGGATGTGGAAGCCTATGGCATTCTTGGCTATTGCAGCTGTGGCTCTGTATGTGTTACCCAGCATGCGACCGCAGGAGTCAGAGTTCTGCCTCATGGAGTGATGGCAGACCTGGGCCAGCCGAAAGGGCAGATCCCCAGGAGCCACCACCCTCACCTTTGGGCAGGACACACTATGCCAGAGCTCCCACCTCATTCATGTCCCATGTGTCCCCACCCATCTCCTTAGCCTCAGCCACTGAAGCTGGAAAGGCTTATGGGAGCTTCTGTCTCCCATCTCCTGCCTTGTATAAGATCCTGGGTTCCTTGTAATTAAATATCAACCCAATTACATGAGACTTTGTGGCTCTTTATTTACTAAATGCTTCATACACAACCAGAACAAAGCAGCTCCCCTTCAACCAAGTACTTCGCGTAAGGATCTGGCTCCTAAATATGATTTCTCACCTTACAGATGACCTCAGAAACAAGTCTGGCTCCCTGTGCTGCCAGCTAAATCACAGAGGGGTTGGTCTGTACCTGTTAACTTAGCTCAAGGAACTCTGAGCATGGAAAAATGGAGGGGGTCCAAAAGACCTCCCCTTATGTTTTCTGTACCCATACCCCTCCCTGTATGAGGATTTCCCAAGATCTGTGTGGGCATCTTCATGGATTCGTCCTTGTGACTCAAGGGGTTTGCTCAGATGACTTTTTCATCAGTCAAGTTTCTGGCCATAAACAGGATACTCAAAACTTTAACTAAAAGAGATCAATGAAGGAACTAAGCACAGAAGGCAGGGTTAGGAGAGCCAACAAGGAATGGCAACACAGCCAGGTCCTAGCACTAGTGGAAAGCTGTTGCCACCTCCGCTGGAAGGGGAGGGGAGGAAGCAAGAGCTGGAGCCCCAAAAGGAAACCCAAGCAGGAGTGCAGTGCCAGGGCCCTGAGGAAGAGGGAAGACTTTTTAGTCCTGGCCGTTTCCTCTTACCTGCCTGCTTCCTGTTGGTACCTCTGGTTGATTGAACCCAGCAGGGAGCCAGAGAGCAGAGGTGCCCAGTTGATATGATCTTTCAAGGTCAGCCTCCTGGAGCTCGGAGCAGGACATAAGATTGAGAACAATCTAAGGGGACAGCAGAATGGCCAGATAATTTATGTGTATTCCTGTTTTACCTTCGTTCCTCTTCATGATTGGTTGTTCTCATTGTGAGTGTTGGCACATGAAAGAAAGACCCTGAGTGTATTGAACCCCCATGACCACTGGTTTCCTGGGGACTCTTCTTTCTGCCACCAAAGGACTTTGTTCCATTCAACCAAGCATGTGGAGCAATGTATGGACACAGAGAATGGATGGATGCTGAATGGATGCTGCTGAGCTCCAGATGAGTCCATTTCTTCCCAGCCCTTGCCTAGGGGGAACAGCAAGAACATGTAAAATGAGGAGTTCAAATTTACCCATTTACCCATCCTAGAGAAGTGATAACTGAACTAGAAGTCCCTTCTGGCAGGACTAAAGTCAGTGCCAACACTGGGACCAGCCCCTTATAAACATGGCTGTGACCAGGCAAACTGAGGGTGGTGCCACTTGTTCTTTTTCTTTTCAAGTGACTCTTCTCTGAAGATCATCCTGATTTAGGGTAGCCTAATCCATTTCTATTCCAAGTGACCCAGGACCAGCAGCATCAACATCACCTGGGAGCTTATTAGAAAGGCAGAGTCTCAGGCCTGCCCCAGACCTCCTGACACAGAATCTGTATTTTAACAAGACACATAGGTCATTAGTATGCCTAGTAACATTGGTAACGAAGGTAAACAGGAATACACATAAATTATCTGGCCATTCTGCTGTCCCCTTAGATTGTTCTCAATCTTATGTCCTGCTCTGAGCTCCAGGAGGCTGACCTTGAGAAACACTGCCCTCACCAGTTGTATTAAGGTTTTATGTATTCAGTCATTACCTAATTCAAGAAATTCCTTTGTAGCTACCTGGTACTACTTGATTCTGAGGGTAGTGAGACCCTGCTTCTTATTCAGTTTACTCACCAACAATTGCTTGGAAAACAATTTGGAAAGGACCAGAAGATGACCTACAGCCAAGTGCTATGGCCCGAATGCCTGTGTCCCCCAAGAATTCATGTTGAAATCCTAATCTCCAAGATGATGCTATTAGGAAGTGGGACAAAGCTCTCACAGTGGGTTTAGTTTCCTTATGAAAGAGAACTCGGACCCCTTTACCCCTTCTGCCATGTGAGGTTACAATGAGAAGACAGCTATGAGGAAGGGTGGCCTCACCAGACAGGGAATCTGCATGTGCCTTACCTTGAGCTTTCCAGCCAGAAGAAAAATGATAAATTTCTGTTGTTTATAAGCTATCCAGTTTACAATATTTTGCTGTAGCACTTAGATAAGCTAAGAAATCAAGGATCGCTTGGATTTAGAAACCAAGATGGAGATCAGGTTCTGAGTAATAATGACAGGAATGTGGGCTTGCCTTTCCCCAGCCTTTAGGACACTTGCCCCTCTCTGTGCACTTTAGAATCTCTTCCCCTTCCTTTGGTTTGAATCTGGAGCCACCTGATCTTGTTGATCGGTGTTACCAAAACATGTGAAAGAGGTCTCCTTGTTAAATGTGAAACATTTGTTTGAGATAACTTAAAAACAGGTGGAGTGAGGAGGACTGACCTTAAGTCCATAGCAGTATGTCTTAGAAACTACAGGCAGGCATGCACCCTGGCATTGGTATAGCTAGAACCAAGAACCCCCAAACACCTTCATGAGCCTCCATCTTTTGGCTTCTTCCCTCTGTATAACTGCTTTCTACCCGTTGTCTACAGTCTGGGCCCGCCTTGCTGTCCCTGCCCAACCCACCACTGCCACCCCTGCCAAGGACCAGCTGCTGCTATTGGGGTGGGTGGTTATGAAATACAGTAACTCTGGTTCTGATTCTGGCAGGTGGTGTATCAGGATGGAGGAAAGGGGTGAGGGGAGTAGTGTCGATATCTAGGCAGTGTATCTGCAGGGCTATGGACACAGCTGTGAGGAAGGGCCTCACTCCCTAGAACGGACCCACACACATCAGCAGAGGAAGCAAACTAACTTTTTAAAAAATCCCCTATTAGATGCCAGGTGTCATGCTAGTCATATGTTATTTCTTCTCATCTTCACACATTTTTTAAAAAACACTATTGAGGGTGTTATTCCATTTTACAGGTGAGAAAGGGAGGCCTGAAAGAGTTATGTAACCTGCTCAAGGTTATAGAACCAGAAATGAAGAGGCTGGAATTCAGCCTTTGGATCTTTCTTTTCCTGCCACCTGGGACAAAGCCACAGCCAGTGCCTGCTGTGGGCCTGACCAGCCTAGAATCATCAAATGACTGCAGGAATGTCCCTGGTTCCAGGAAAACAAGATTTTTAAACATGGCCCACTGGATCCACTCAGGCAAATTTGGCTCAACCCAAATTAAATACAGCCAAAGTCAGTGGCTGTCAATCAGTGCCCCTTGATGAGAGAGACAGGCCCAGATGAAAGGCCAGGCAACCTGGTCTCCTGAGATAGGTCAGCGGGTGATGAGTCAGGGGGCTATAAATGGCCTGTGGCCCCAGCCAGCAAAGCCCCATGTACTCAACTGATGAAACCCCTAGTAAGCCCCTCTCGGTATCCCTGCCTGGCTTGGGGAGGAACACATTAGCTCTCCCTGGGGAAGGGGCCCCACTTGGCAGGTCCCAGGACAGCATTGTGCACGGTCTGTTCCAGCCCTCGTGGCCGGGCCTGAGGCCTGGGCTCATGGGCTATATTGAGGGCTGAGTCACCAGCCTATGCCTGGGTAGGCTGACTGTGACTGGCTGCTGGGGCTTGAGTCAGGCCCCGATTTATCCTGGAGAGCAACAGGCTCAGGTTTCTGGGGTTGGGGAGGTTGGCGGGAATCATCCGTTGGCACTGCACCCTGCTCTGCTGACCATTTACTTGCTCCTCTGGGACCCACACACTGATCTTTCCCAAGTGAGATAGTGAGATAATGAGTCAGAGAGGAGAGCGAGGCAAGCTATCCTTGGGAGTTTTCCCTGGCTTTGCTCTGAACCCTCCCACCTAATTCACTATTATTGTTGTTGTTGTTATTATTGGAACTGGTCAGTTGAACCCAGGGGTGCTTTACCACTGAGCTACATCCCCAGCCCTTTTTATTTTGAGACAGGGTTTTGCTAAATTGCTGGAACTTGCAATCCTGGTGCCTCAGCCTATGGAGTCGATGGGATTATAAGTATGTGCCACCATGCCTGAAAGAACCCTTCCAGCTCTTGACTGACTGGGTACCTCTGATAATGACACCCACCAGACAGGACTATGTATATTTCGGTTCCCTAGAAGAGCTGTGAGCCCCAAGCAACTCCACCTGACCCCTTTCTCCCCTTCCCAGCAGCTCAGAAAGGTATCCATCATTTCTCAGATCTGAACCTCAGTTTCTTCATCAAGGCTCCAGAGACAACAGTGGAACCCTGAGCTCCTGGCACTTTGGGTTGGCTGTCAGAAGTTGACTTCTCTGCCCCACACACACTTTCCTTATGAGACCCAGCTATGTATCTTGAGCTGGGCATCTCTCTAAAGAGAGCTCAGCCTCTCAAGTGGACAGCACTAGTACCTGATGTGTGCTTTTGGCCATTGGATAAAGATAGTTTAGAGAGAATGAGAGCTCTGGAGACAAGGAGAGGGGGTTGCCAATAGGAGAGTGGAATTCCTGAGTACCTCGTCACAGGCGGCCAACAGAACATGAGCTGCAGGGCCCAAGCTATTTATACCTCGCCTGTCACTATCAGGGCCCCCAGACAACACCCCCTCCAGCTATGCAGAGCAGGTCCCTTTTCTGTTTCTAGTCCCTTCCACTCCTCCCCCTCTCTACCAAAGGACTAGGCAGTCTCATTACATGAGAAGAGAAATAAATGATTCACGGAACCCTGTCACCATAAGCACTGGCCCTCACAAAAACCTAAACTTCTTTGTTAGTCCATAATAGGTACTGCCCTCACTCTGCCTTTGGTGAAAGTTCCCCTAGATGTCTCCTATACCATACCCTTCCTTTTCACCAGGCTTGGGAAGAGTAAAGAAGTTAGAATGATTCACCTACAAAGTCCATAATCCTTCCCAATTCTTAAACCACCATGTGTCTTGAGTTGGGGACTATCTGGCTTGAAGAAATATCTCAAGCTTAGACATGGCCTCCTCCCCAATTAAATTTACTGGGTCTAGAAGGATGGGGAAGCAGAGGAAGCTTAAAGGCGGGCAGGAAGTTTGGAGTCAAGTTGCCAAATACATATTCTCCTTATATGTTCTGTGGCTTTCTCCTCATCCCCCACCAGTGC